GGACATGGTGAGGTTGTGCTTGTGTCCTGACTGGCCTGCAGTAAAGCAATGGCTCTTAGGCTATGTCTACACTACAGAGTGGGTGTGTCTAGACTGGCAAGATTTTGCACAAAAGCGCCCGCTGTCTACACTGGCCACTTGAATTTGCGCAAGAGCCCTGACGTTCTAATATGAGAATTCAGTGCTTCTTGCGCAAATACTTTGACACTCCCACTCAGGGATAAGCCCTCTTGCGCAAGAATACTTGCGCAAGAGGGCCAGTGTAGACAGGCACCTTAATTTTTTGCGCAAGAAAGCCCGATGGCTAAAATGGCCATAGACGCTTTCTTGCACAAAAGCGCGTCCATACTGGGCACGGACGCTTTTGCACAAAAGCACTTTTTGCACAAAAGCATCCATGCCAATCTAGACACTCTTTTGCGGAAATACTTTTAACGGAAAAACGTTTCCGATAAAAGTATTTCCACAAAATCATGCCAGTCTAGACGCAGCCAGTTTTTCGGTATCCCGGAAAAACTCTGCCACATCCAGGGAATGTGTTCACATTTTCAGATCAGTTTCTGAAAAAGTGGGTGCATTCTTTTGGAAGCCCTGTAATCCTCATTTTATGAAGAATAAGGGCTCTTCCAAAAGAGGAGGTTTTTTTCCCACATTTGGCCCAGTGTAGATGGGCCAAATGTAGGAAAAGCCTCTTCCAAAAAAAGAATCGGAAAAAGGTACACAAATTGCGGTTCGTAATTTGTGTACCTTTTTCCACAAAAGAACGGCAGTGTAGACACAGCTTTAGAGAGCTGCCTTCTCCCCTCTGGCAGAAGTGTGAGTTCCGCGTACTATGACGGAAAGAAGAATATATTACCACCTTTCTGGAAGGTGGAATGTAGCTGGTCAGCTGTCTCTCAAAAATCGCTTCTCTAGGCACTAAGATTGAGGGTTTCGCTATTTCTTTGTGTAATCCACACACCTATAGGGCTATGTCTACACTCGCATCTTCTTGGGTCAGAAGTATGCAAATTAGACTAAGTGTGGAATATTGCCAAGCTTCATTTGCATACCTAATGAACCTCCGTTTTTGCAGAAGAGGCTCTTGTGCCAGAAGGAGCTGTCTACACTGCCCCTTCTTGCGCAAGAAAAACCCTCTTGCGCAATGCCGTATGCCAATTATTTTCAGGAACAACGGCATTGCGTAAGAGGGTTTTTCTTGCGCAAGAAGGGGCAGTGTAGACAGCTCTTTCTGGCACAAGCGGCTCTTCTGCAGAAAGAGGCTCGGTGATACGCCACACTTAGCCTCATTTGCATACTTCTGATGCAAGAAGCCATTAGTGTAGACATAGCCCTAGTGTGGTTCATTGTCCCGTGTAATGGCACTTAGACCACTCACAGCCAGAGGTAAGAACAAAGAAGCTCTACAGGCCAGATTTCAAGCTAGCTGGCTTCATAGTTTAACCTTTAGTAGCTCCTATACTAAGCTCCAGAGGTCCCAGGTTCAAATCCATCCCATGGTGATTGTCTATTAGCTGAGTTATGATCATGGAAACCTTTTGCTAGGGTAGCATACTCCTTGTAGTAAACTAGTAACTAGTTTGTCATCTTGTTTTGCCCACTGCATTCTAAAAGTCAGCCAAAGACTTATAGAGACATCCTGCCACAGCTAGAGCTTGGTGCACAGGGTTTGCTAGCTGAGCATCAGCAAAATGGTTTGTCCCCTTGAAGCCGCAGTTAAATAAGGCAGCCTCATTTCTGCTGCTAACCTATTTACCAGTGAAAAGCCCCCTACTTACTTCACAGGTGGGGATCAGAGAACTCCCAGACTCTGTGCTCTGACAACTACATCATATTTCTGGCCTCTGAAATCTGCCAGGATTGTCTCGACTTTCTCCATGAGTGAAATGGGGGTTTGAAGGATAATCTGAGCCCCAGATTACTTTGACCTCTAGAGTTTCCCTCCCTACTTGTGTGTATGAGATTCAGGGGTGGAGATACAGGGCTGCAGCCCGGGACTAATCCACAGACGGAGTGACTTCACTTTCACCTTCTGAAAACACGGGGAGTGCTGTGCTGGGGTCAGGGGAGGTCTAAGTTGTCCCTGGTTTTGCAGAGCGCACAGATCCGGAGAGCAATGTTAATGTGGAAGGGAGAAATTTTCTTTTCTGGAGCTACGTTGCCACCTTGTGGCATAAATGCAGTGACTTTGAGGCTACAGATAATTAAGCTACACACACACGTGCTACACTTAGCAGCTTTTCTCCCACTGTGGCAGATCTTCCCTTTGTTCCATGCCAAGGAACATGCGTGTGCACACACTTCTACTTTGGAAGTGTGAGAGCAGTGATTAGGGATGGAGGATCCCTGGGAGGAAGAGAGAAGCCCAGAGCTGTCTCTGGAGGCCTTGCATGGGATTGGGTGCCAGAGGGAAGAACTCTTAACCTGCCACGGCCTTATCCCCCACTAATGATCAGGACTAGCAGGATGTGCAGAGCTACTGTGCTGAAGAGGCAGACAGACCAGAGGCAACTGGACACAAAGCAGAGCGCATCGCCCAGCTGGGAGACCTACAAGTGGGTAGGAGGCACCACGAATGGGTGGCCCTAGCTGGGGACAGACCTGTGGACTTGTGCTGCAGTCTGGTTTTGCTTTGCTTGAGACCCTGAAGACATTGAATAAAGGTTCCCCACAGAAGAGGGGGTTGATCTGTGTACGTAGCGGGCTGCTTGTTGCAGGGACACAGGTCTTGCATGCCAGAAGCCATGGGAAGCGTTTTCAGGCACCCCCCGCTCCAAGTTTGTTGGTGTCCCGGACTCTCTGCAGACTATAGCTGAACTGTCTGAATCGGGGGTTTAGAGACATGCCATGAACTGCCACGTCTCCAGCTGGGTCACTGGCTCCAATTGCAGGATGCTGAAGGTCTTGGAATGGAAGGCAGCAGGGCCTAGAGGCATAGAGGTTTAAACTGGGAGGGGGTTGATACGGGAATAGTGCCTTGGGGTAAGGGGGATAAAGAGAAGAATGGAAGGGGCTCAGCTAGAAATGGGACTGCCGTGTCCCTCAAAACCAGCAAATAGCCCTGCAGCACCTTAGAGGCTAATGAAACATGTTACTGGTATCGTGAGCTTTCATGGGCACAACCCACTTCTTCGGATGAACGGAGTAATTTCAACAACTTCCACCCCACCATCAACCTCAGCCTGGGCAAGTCCACATGAGAGATCTGCTTTCTTGACACTGAAGTACAATTACATGACGGCCACATTTCCACTGCCTTACACGGAAACCTACCGACTGTTACACTTACCTACATGCCTCTCCTTTCCAACCCAGACACATTTCTCAACTGTTTACAGCCAGGCCCGAAGAGGCAACCGGATTTGCTCCAGTCCCACAGAGATGAACACCTACAGGATCTCTATCGGGCATTCCTAAAACTTAAATAGCCACTTGGAGAAGTGAAAAACAGATCGACAGAGCCAGGCGGGTACCCAGGCATCAGCTTCTTCAAGATAGGCCCAACGAAGGAAACAATAGAACACCACTGGTCACCACCTACAGCCTCCAATGCATCCTTAACAATCTACAATCTGTCCTCTCACTCTCACTGGTTTTGGGGGACAAGCCAATCCTCAGCTACAGACAACCCCCTAACCTCAAACAAATTATTTCCAGCAACCATGCAGCACACCTCCATCATACTCATCCAGGAACCCACCCCTGCAATTAACCCTGGTGCCAACTCTGTCCATACATCAACACAAGTGACATCATCACAGGACCTAACCACGTCAGCCACCATATCAGAGGCTCATACAACTGCACATCCACCAGTGTGCTCTGTGCCAGCAAGTGCCAGCAATGCCCCTCTGCCATGTAACATTGGCCAGACTGGACAGTCTCTGCCACAAAGGATGAATGGACACAAATCAGATATTCGAAATGGTAACACACAGAAACCTGTTGGGTAACATTTCAATTTTCCGGGACACTCACTGATAGAGCTAAGTGTCTGTATTATTTCTAAGCAATTTCAAAAGTCCCCTGGAGAAAGAAACCACAGAACTGCATTTCATTTACAGGTTTGACACCTTGAATAGAGGTTTAAACAAAGACCTGACCTGGATAGGCTGCTACTTTCCACACCCTAATGACATAAAATGCTAAGCACTGGGTACTTAGAATACTTATAGCCCACTCAATTAGCCTAATGGACGCTCTAGCTGCCATTTTTGTTCTCTTCGCTTTCCCTCTACATCCTCTCTCTTTCTCTGCTAGGGTATGTCTACACTAGGCCCCTAGTTAGAACTAGGGAGGCTAATGTAGGCATTCGAAGTTGCAAATGAAGCCCGGGATTTAAATATTCTGGGCTTCATTTGCATCTTCCCGCGCGCCGGCATTTTTAAATATCCCGTAGACTGAACTCCGTGCCCGAGACTACACGCGGCATGGAGTAGGTAGTTCGAATTAGGATCTCTAACTCGAACTACCGGTACACCTCATTCCACGAGGAGTAACGGTAGTTCGAATTAAAAATCCTAATTCGAACTACCTACTCCGTGCCACGTGTAGCCGCAGGCACGGAGTTCGGACTAAGGGACATTTAAAAACGGTGGCGCCCGGGAAGATGCAAATGAAGCCTGGGATATTTAAATCCTGGGCTTCATTTACAACTTCAAATGCCTACATTAGCCTCCCTAGTTCGAACTAGGGGGCTAGTGTAGACATACCTCTATTTATTTGCAACCTGGACCCAGAGTGCCAAAAGTGTGCAGCTGACGTGGCGCTCCATGGCTGATCTCCGCTGCCACCCCCGATGAAGACCTGTTGGATGATGAGCTGTTGAAATCCAGCCCCTCTATCTTCTCCCCCACCCTGCTGGGGGAATGAGTCAGAACAGCCAACCCTGTGACATCAGGCGTTACGCTCCAGGTTCTAAATTCCACGCAGAGCCACGTTCCCAGCTGAGTAGGGAGCTGATCTGGTAACTACTTATACTAATAACACTCCCCCTCTTTTGTTCCCCCCCCTCATGCTGTAACACATCTGGATACCAGGGCCTGGGTAGGTTACTGCTGGCTGGGAGCTCTCTTTGGGTATGTCTACACTAGCCCCCTAGTTCGAACTAGGGAGGCTAATGTAGGCATTCGAAGTTGCAAATGAAGCCTGGGATTTAAATATCCCGGGCTTTATTTGCATCTTCCCGTCCGGTCGCCATTTTGAAATTTCATTAATCCGGACTAGCTGCCCGTGGCTACAAATGGCAGGGACCCAGTAGTTCGAACTAAAGCCCCTAATTCAAACTACCTGTTAAACCTCCTTGCTCAGCTGCCGCCTAACCTTGTTGACATCTAGGTTTCCAGTGCTGGGCGTACTTGAGTGGTCATGGGGGCAGAGAGAGAGAGTGACACCTGGATGAGAAGAGTTCAAACCCTCACTCCACATCCACATTGGGTGATGAGTGTGCTAGTGACTGGGCCACACTGCCCCATTTTGGGGGGACTGATCTATTTTACGCACATACAGTTTGCTGTTGGGAGGCTGAGTCGGTCTCCTTGGTGGGTCTAGCCCAAGAAGTCTTTATCCTGTACCAGTATTCTCTCTGCTCAGGGCTCTGGTCTGTGATGTTTGAGACAGTCGGAATTGGAATCCTTTTGCTGGGGGCCTGTGGTTCCTGTGAGGATACGGCGGCTGATGACGTAGGTGTGCACATGATGGGTCGCATATCAGAGCTCCTTTCCCCGGAGGAATGTCATGACTTCTATGTTCAGATCACCGGCCCAGAGGAGAACGTGGAGGAGGAGCTGGAGAGGCTCTCCGAGGCTAAGAACCCAATCCGCTCTCGCCACCGGCGAGACATCATCAGCACAGAGCAATGCAAAGAGGTCCTGACCCAGTGGCTCGAAGCAGAAGGAGATACAGTGTACTGGGACCGTCTTTCCCGAGCTCTCCGACACATCAGGCGCCCGGACATCTCCCAGGAGCTGGGCAAGAACTTGAACCAGGACAAGAACCTTGAGCTACAGAGGAACGTGGAAGAGTATCACAAAGTGGTGGCACATCTGACCTCCTCGCTGCTGCTGGAAGAGGATGAGAAATATGGAGAGACAAACCAGCACAGCAGAGAGCGGCGGGCGGATGGGAAATCCCCCAGGGGGAGTGGGTTGATGCAGGAAGACTGGGATGACATGGACCTCATCATTGAAAGGAAACCACTCCCTCCGTACAACAGGAGCCTCTTCGAGTGGGTCAGCCCAGTGGCTTCCGGCTTCATTGGAGGGTTTTTAGCTTCTTTTGTCCTCATGGCTCTTGCTATTTACTCCTGTTTCTGGACCCTCAACCAAGGCTCTATGGAGATTTCCCATTGTTACCCAGGGTCCCAGCCTGAGCCTACGGCTCACAAATCCTTGTTTGAGTATGACCTTAACTATGGCTTGATCTTAGATGAAGACTTCACGGACAGTCTGGATGGGGATTCTTCCGATGACACCAGCTGTGAAGGAGAGCCTTAATTTGCATGTGAAACTTTTCCATCCACAGTTCCATGAGGCACAGCCAATAAAATGCTCCTTGTTTATGGAATTGAGCCAGGAGGGTGGGTTGATAGATATGTAAAAGTGTGCAATGGATAGAGATTGCAAAAGCTTTAGACTTCAAAGCATGCTTCCCCTTTTGTCTTTTAAGACCTTCCAAAGTCTTAAATCTTCTGTAGAGCATGAACCAGCTTCTGGCTAACTACTGGGGAGGGCTGGACAGAAATTTCCCTGGGAAAGAGGGAAGGATCTTACACATTTGCCCCTGTAGCATTTCTTGCACCTTCTGAAGCATCTGGTAGTGGCTGCAGGAGGAGATGGGTCACCAGTCAAGATGGACCGCTGGTCTCTGAGGCTATGTCTACACCACAGAGGTTTTTTTCAGATAAACAGCGGTTTTTCCGGAAAAACTTCACACATGTCCACACTGCAATTGTATTCTTTCAAAAGAAAACTGAAAGAAGAGAGGGGTTTTCCGATATTGGTAAACTTCTTTCTACAAGGAAGAAGCAGGGTGTGTCTAGACTACAGGGTTTTGTCGACAAAAGTGGACTTTTGTCGACAAAACTATACCTGCGTCTACACTACCGCCGAATTCTGTCGACATAATATTGACAGAACTCGGCAGTTTTGTCAATGGCGGTGAATCTCATTCTGCGAGGAATAACACTTTTTGTCGACAGAGTTCTATTGACAGAAGGCTCTATTGCATCTACACTGTCCTTTACATCTACACTCTCATGTCAACAAAGCGGCTTTCTTTGTCGACAGAAGCTTTGTCAACAGTACCCTTTCAGAAAAAGGCGTGTGTGGATGGGGAAGAGGAAGTTCTTTCGAAAGAAGAGGAAAGAGGAAAAAGCACAGGTGCCCTGGTGGCCACTCCATCCATAGTAATCACAGCTTACATGCAAGATAGCATCCATTCACTGTCTTTCGAAAAAGCAGATCCCTTTTTTGATGCACTTCAGCAGTGTGGACGCTCTCTTTCGGAAGACGTTTTTTCAGAAGATCTCTTCCGGAAAAGCTTCTTCCGAAAGAAGCCCGCAGTCTAGACGTAGCCTTAGTCTGGTCATTTTTTCTGTTTGCAGATCCCTTAGGGTACGTCTAGACTACATGCCTCTGGTGACAGAGGCATGTAGATTAGACTACCCGACATAGGAAAATGAAGCAGCGATTTAAAGTGATCCAGGGAGGTCGACAAATGCCTTTGATGTCGACCGCGGAGCATCCAGACTACCGCGCTGAGCCAACCAACAGCTGATCGGCTCAGCGCGGCAGCCATTTAAATTTAAATGAAGCAGCGATTATTTAAATCGCCGCTTCATTTTCCTATGCCAGGTAGTCTAATCTACATGCCTCTGTCGCCAGAGGCATGTAGTCTGGACGTACCCTTACTGATGTTACTGTACATTCCACCACTTGTCACAAGATGTCACTGTGCACTACAGAATAGGTCTGTGAACTCCACAGAGCCAACAGCCCAGCCTCACTCAGGGTGGGGCCAGCTTGCCGCAGCAGTAGCCCACTCCCACACCATCACTTACTGGCCTCCTTTGCTATCTTCAGTCCCAAAGCTCTGTCTCTTCCCACGACAGGCAGACCAGGAAGGGCTGTCACTTCCCTGCCCCAAAGGCTGCCTTGAAACGTGCTGTGGCTCTTTCAGACAGGAAAGAAAGTAACCGGGCTCTGCTGCCCATGGAGGGACAAAGGACAGACCATGCAGCTGGAGGAATGGGAAGATGCAGAGGTCAGCTTCAAAAAGGAGAAGAAAAAGGGAAGTTACTCACCCTGTGCAGTAATGATGGGTCTTTGAGATGTGTCCCCCCCTGGGTGCTCCACTGTTGGTGATGGGTCATCCCGGAGCCGCAGATCAGAGTTTTACAGAGCAGTTGTCAGCTGTAGAATATTCAGTCCTTTGGGTACGATGTCCATCTTTTTGCACTTGGATAGAAAGATGGGCTGTGTCTAGACTGGCCAGTTTTTCCGGAAAATCAGACGCTTTTCCAGAAAAACTTGCCAGTTGTCTACACTGGCCGCTTGAATTTCCGCAAAAGCACTGACAATCTCATGTAAGATTGTCAGTGTTCTTGCGGAAATACTATGCTGCTCCCATTTGGGCAAAAGTTTTGCGCAAAAGGGCCAGTGTAGACAGCTGAGATTTGTTTTCCACAAAAAAGCCCCGATCGCGAAAAATGGAGATCGGGACTTTTTTGCGGAAAAGTGAGTCTAGATTGGCACGGACGCTTTTTCACAAAAAGTGCTTTTGCAGAAAAGTGTCCGTGCCAATCTAGACGCTCTGTTCCGAAAATGCTTTTAACGGAAAACTTTTCTATTAAAAGCATTTCTGGAAAATCATGCCAGTCTAGACGTAGCCATGATGTCTGTCTGGATCTGTGCAAGTTTTTTCATATGGTTGATGGATTTCCATTCCAAACGGCTAAATGTAATGCCTTGCATGTCAGCTGAGCCATGTAGGCACCTTGTGGCGTTCACCTTAGCACCTCACATGGTGGCCCAACCCTCCCTCAGTTCCTCATTTACACCCGAGTAGCTAGGTACTCCGAAGTAAAAGGGAGGAGGGTTGGTCATGGAGCACCCTCCCTCTGCCCCTCACCCCGGGACACACATCTCAAAGAACGGTCTTCATGGCACTAACTTCCTTCTCTTCTTCGAGTGATGTCTCCGGGGGTGCTCCACTGTTGGTGACTACAGAGCAGTGACTGATCTGGATGGTGGGTTTCAGCATCACCACTTGGCGGTTGAGGACATGACCGCTGTGGCCAATGCAGTATCAGACAATGAATGAGGTATGTTGGGTGTTTGGCAACAGTCTGTTCGGATGACCAGGGTGCTACCAGGCAAATGTCTCTGAAGGCAACATTACGAAGAAATGCCGTGGATGTCACAATAGCACAGGTGGAATATGCTCTTGGAGGCACTGGCAGAGTCTTATTCTGCAAAGAGTAACAGCACACTGTACATGAGGACAACCAGTTGGGAACGCGTTGAGCAGAGATGGGCCTACTCTTTGAACACTGCAATGGAAATGAATAGAGACGCTGAGACTTGTGGAAAGCCCAAGTCATGTCTAAGAAAAAGGTGGGAGCCCATCAAACATCCAATGTTGAACATCCATCCCCAGAGGTGTTTCAGTCCTGGCTTGACTGAGCCCTGGCTGGGATGATTTAGTCGGGATTGGTCCTGCTTTGGGCAGAGGCTTGGACTTGATGGCCTCCTGAGGTCTCTTCCAACCCTAGGATTCTAGGATTCTATGAGGTGATCCATAAGCTCCGCCAGTTTGGCTTAGCTGTCGAAATCATGATTGGCTAGTAAGGCTGAGTAGTTTGCGATCCTCAGCTGGAGCGTGGCGGAAGAGTAAATTTTCCAACCAACTGTGGAAGCTTAGCCCTGTGTTGGGCCACAAGGGAATTCAGTTGTGGGGGGTGAGAACAAACAGAAAGGCCATATCCCAAGCCGGGATGAAGTACTATTTGTCAGCCCTTTTGTTGGCTGGGGGAATGGAGGCAGGGCTTTTCCATACCTTGTCCGAGGCCTCATTATAACCTCGTCAATTATCAAATGGTAAGGATCTTGCCAGGGAAACTCTCGTTTTCGCTGCTCCATTTGATAATGGGGAGTCAGCCCTCTTCTTGGGTGTTTTGGAGGATTCGGACTGAGCTTGAGACAGTTGCTGGGACTCAAATGGCTGCATTGCCTTGTCAAATAAAATCATTCAGAGCCGCAAATTCCTGGCTCTCCTTGCTCTGGCCCTTAGGCAGCAGCAGTGATCACACTTCTGAGGGACATGCGTGTCCCCCAGACAGTGGATGCAGGAGGAGTGGCCACCCAAAACCAGTTGCATTTCTTAAACCCTGGGGGGCCTGGCGCGGCATTTTCGTGGGCACTTTCCAAAGTTCTGCTTGTTGGTTTATTCAAGATCTTTTCTCCCCCTTTCTTCTCCTCTTCTTTCCTCTCTTTTTTGGGGCAAGAGACGAGCTCCGTCTGCGACCGAGGGCGGTTAGCGAGGAACCGAGGGAGGGTCGGGCTTGTAAACGCCATGAGGCGCCTACTGCGTGTGCGCAGCCCAACTGACGACTGCTAAGTAAACCTCCGATCTGCAGCTCCGGGATGACCGACAGCGGTGCCCCCACAGGAAAATTGCTCGAAGAAGAAAAACGAGTTTCCTGCAGGACTGGCCTTTTGCCCAGCCTGGGACGGGAAGGCCTGGGGAGCTCTCCGGTAATGTTGGATGTGGACATTTGCCCAGCGCGTAAGAACAGCCGCACTGGATGAGATCAATGGTCTGTCTAGCCCAGGAGTCTCTCTTCCAACAGCAGCTAACACCCGATGCTTCCGCGGGCATGAGTAGAACAGAGCAATTAGCAAGCGATCCGTCCCCGCTGGTCCACTCCTCGCATTGGGCAGTTAGCGATTCAGGGGCAGCCAGCACCCAGGGACGGACCTGACCCCTGTGACCTGAACTAGTTCTTTTTTGGAGCCTGTTGCAGTGTTGGCTTTGACAACACAGCATGACAACACTGCGTTCCACTGGAATTGTGCTGCATTTCTCTGCCACGGCCTCCTACCCTGTGACACACATTGACACTCGTGCAAAAGTCCCATGAAACTGACTAGCTGCAATTCCATCCTGATCTCAGTGCCCCTCTCTGGTCAGGCCTGGCCAACTCTGGCCTTAGGGCACCCAGCTGGTGCCTAACCACCATCTAAGCCAGGCCTGGCTGCTCCCAGCATGAGCCAAGGATCTGTCCGGGAGAACGTCCCTCTACCTCTTGCGCTAGCAGTCTGGTATATCCAAGTTGTCTCCACAGTGGCTGGGGAGAGAGGAGATTTACCCTCAGGAATTTGGTACCCAAATCAGCGGGTTTATGCAAATGAAGCGTTTTGCTGGAGTTGGTTTGCCAGGCAGGGCTTCAGGGACAGCGCAGTCCAGGCAGCTCTCAACAGTTGGTGGTCGAGGCTGCGCCTTTTTCCTGTTCTGCCGGACCCAGCCCGTCTCTTGGCTGGCTTTTTTTCCTCTCCTCCAGAGTCTTCCTTCTTCGGGCTCTGCGAGCGTCGCTGAATTCCGGCTTTCCGGCTCTGTGTCCTGCTGTGGCATTAACCATGAGCTAGGAGACAAGCAAGGGCTGAAACCGTCGCTGCCCTATTCCCAGCAGTGAGTCTTGGATACTTCCAGAGCCCCGGCCCAACTGC